TCTGAACCAATGCCAACTGCTACTACGTAAACGTCCTTGTCCTAAATTTAGCACAATAACGAGAAACGAAAAGAGGCAAAAGTACTATTAACCGGCTCGGACGTATATGCAATTTCATACCCCCACCCTGGTACAAGGGAGAGGGGGGGGGGGGTCGATGAAACCCCTCCCCAGAGTTTTTGATATGTTGCAGTATTTCAAAACGATTTTGCCTTCAGTGGAAAGCCTTTGATCTTCTCAACAAGGTGAGGTATAATTTATGAGTGGTGGCGCTGCTGGAGGCCGTGACGTCATCAAATATGGTCGCCATCTTGGCCGCCATCTTGAATTTTACCAAGAATTAGAAGTCAGGTTAAAATCTAGCCTGCGAACGGCAGACATTTTTCCTCGCTCATCGCCGCTGAGGGACGTTTCGCGAAACGTCCCTCAGCGGCGCTGAGCGAGGAGAAACGTCTGCCGTTCGCAGGCTAGTTAAAATCGCGATAAACGGTAATTTTTGTGTTTGTTATGTAAAATAACACATAAATAAGCACTTTGCATCATTTCATCCACAATCTTTACTTTGGTTGTTGAAAGAAGTTGGAAAAACATGCATTTTCACTCAAAAATTGCTTGATCACCCGCTACTTTTGACGTCATATGTCGTAACCATAATAATTGACCGTCACTAATCTTGTCTCAAAATGTACGCGGGGGATAAGCGAACAGCTACTGAAAACGTGAGGTGCTGATGTTTTATCTTCTAGGAAAAAACTCAAAAAAACCTCAAAGGGGGGTAGCAACCACCCCCTCCCCCTTTTACGTCCGAGGGTTAAACAATGCTTTACGCAAACTAAGACACAGGGCGCAAATGAGTTATTTGTGATGCTCGGTGGGGACAAACGTCGCCTGAAGGGTGATGCATTTGGAAAGCGAAGCTTTCCGAGCGAGGCACGAAGTGCCCAAAGAAAAAAAGAGTCAAGGGATGAAACTAAATACTACGTGACTCGTTCAATGTGGACCGTAGCTCACTGGTCACGGAAACGAAAGTTAAGGTTAAATGTCGTGCCAAGCGGAAGTGTTATCAACTAATGTGAAAATTCAAACTCCGGTAAATTTGTAGCCTGCGTAGCTGGCGGTATTGTGTGGGTGCGAGATTACAGTTTTGGCGGCGGAGCTGTGTTCCAAAAAAAAGGAGTAGGGACGAGGCGGTTGAAATACCGCCTGCCAGAAAACCCCGGTATTTTGAATGGTCCGCACACCAGTGTGCGGGGAAACGGATTGGTCGAGGGCCATACATATGTCAATCATGTTAGATGAGCCTTTGCGTATATTTCCCAATTTAGGGAGCAGATGGCAAACCGGAGAAGACGTACATGTAAAGTGATTGTGATTTCCGCTTTAGAAAGAGCATAATTGATGACCAAATTGCCGAAATGGCGTCTTTAAACTTCACAGCGCTGGAATTGTCTTAATTTAGCCGTAAGAAACAAAGGTCAAAGAAAATTAAAACACTTTACAACTGCATCTGAGATCAAATCCTATCAGGAACACCTACAGAAGAATAAACCACCGGAAATGGTTACTCAGTATGCATGTAACAAACCAGCTTCATGACCTTTTAATGTTAAGCCTAGTGTTGCAAAAAAAGATTTACTCAGTCAAAGTTTAGAATGATACATGCACTGTGTAGTGCTAGTAACCTTCGAGCGAGAGCCGAGAAAATAAAAAAAAACCTCTGTTCAAGCAAACTCACAAGGTCACGTTTCACATTGTCACGAGCTTAGGAGTCGTGTTTAGCCTGTCAACGCTTATTTCTAAACTGTCTCGCGCGAAAATAATCGGAAGTTTCAAATTGCAGGTTTCTCTTTGATTGGCTGATTTAATTGGGATCAGCTAACGTGACAAAAGTGGGCGGCATTCGAAAAATCATGGTTCTCTGGCAGGCGGTATTTCTCGCGGCTTCGCCGCTCGTGACGGCTCCGCCGTCAAATCTCACTCGACCATATTACAACGGCTCCGCCGCCAAATCTCACTCGACTACTACACAATACCGCCAGCTACGCAGGCTAGTAAATTTGTATTCACTCGAGTATGGAACACAGTGTCCTTGGCAAACCGCAGTTTTCTTTTCGAGAAAAATCCTTAGTTAAAATTAGTTAGGTCCAGACATTTTGAAGAAAAATAGAGAAAGTGCAATCTTTTTCTAGCCACAATAAAAAGCTTTTTAAACGCTTTGAAGGCGCACAAAAAAAAATCATTGTTCTACTGCGGCATGCAGAGACCGAATTCCGTTTTCCTGGTCCGAGAAGTTTTTCTTGAATTCAAAGCGAGACTAGCTTATTAAAGGTTAGAATGCTCCATGCACTTTATAATCTACCCGCTGGAGAGAAAAGAAAGAATAATATCTGTTTTTCAAGCAAACTCCAAGGTCACGTTTCACACTATCACATGCTTGGCCTCGCCTGTCAACACTTTATTTCTTACTAGTACTATTGTTTCTAGTTTGTTATGTAACTGATGACGTATTTCTGGTGTGCCCGGCATCTTGCCGTCCGCATCGTGTACGAAAGCAAGCATCCAACGCTAAAAAATCTTCCCCCTGGGAAACGAGTTTTAGCGAAGTCGATGTTCAAATTTCAGATGAGAGTGAGAAAAGAATGTTGTTTTGGGGTCCGCTGAGGAAAATGGCGCCGATTTATACACGGACTAACGAATTATGGTTTCATCCCTTGTCTCTTTATTATATGTTAGCCGCTGTTATTCGTCCGCAGTCATTACCTTCAGCGGTTTTACGGATCATTGGATAATATACACCAGGCCCTGGTTGTTCAAACGTTGGATAGCGCTATCCACAGGATAAATCACTATCCAGCGGATAAGTATTAGGGAAAACAATTGCGTTATCCAGTGGATAGATTTTTATCCGGTGGGTAGCGCTATCCGGCGTTTGAACAACCGGGGCCAGGTTTATAAGTTGATCGAATGACGGTTCGCTCGATTAGTTTAATTTACAGTATAAAAACAAAGGCAATGCGTGGTATCAACCGTAAAATTTAACTACAATCAACAATTAAGGTCATAAATAACTCTTCTACATCCTGTGACTTAGATAGTGGAAATAAACGTTATTCGGAGTATAAATGAAAGTAACGCAAGTTTTCTACTCAGTAGTGGTTTTATTTGTTTAAAAATGCATAAGTAAGCTAACCAGGGTAAGAAGGGTTAGGAAAAGATTCTTTTTCTTGTCTTAAGTTTTTTGGCTCCGTCGTTAAGGTTAGTTAGGTTTTGTGAGAAGAAGAAGGCAGCGGTCAAATTCCGGCGCATGAGATTCGTCTCTAGAATGGTATTTCTGACAGTGTAGCATGCGTAACGGAACAACAGGCAGAAATAGATACCTTATTATAGGAAATTGACGGACCGCGAATTAAATAGAAAACGACTTTCGAATAAAGGAAATTAAGGCGAAAGAGGAGGTAACAATTCAAAATAATGGAAATTAACGCACCGTTCACAAAAAGCCAAAAATTGTTGTCGTTGTGAGAAGACAGGAACAAAGTTGAACCAAGAGATCATGATTGCATCGGCCCTACATGTATTATGATCTCCCTAACTTGGTTTTAACCTTGGTTTAAAAACGTATAGTCCGAAATGGAAACGTAAAACTTTGTTCGTCGTACTTTCCCTCAACGTACTAAGGGGGTCAAGCAAAGAACTCTGGCCACTTCGAGAGTTCTTGACAGTGTCACTATTACACTGTTACTTGCGGATCTCCACTCTGATAAATACTCCTCTTCCTTAGGTTTCAAGAATGCCAGAAGTGAGTATCGTGAATTTGGAGACAAAATAATGGAAATTAAGGTCGCGGAAATTAACGCTCCACCTAATGAACGGCGCGGAAATTAACGTTTACATAAAAACGTGAATTTTTGAAATTCGCGTTAATTTCATGAAGCGTTAATTTCCTATAATAAGGTATTTTGCCCGCAAGGAACGGAGGACTTGGTCCTCTAAAAGTAATTATGAGTAGATTCTGAAATATACATGACTTTGTGTATTGTTGTTCCTTTGCAAATTCAAATCAGTCTAGGTCAGTATTCACTTGAACTACTAAATTTGTTTTTTTTTTTGTTATTCCTTATGGTACTTTAAGTTTCGCGGAAACTTAATTTCGCGATTTTGACGAGACAGTATTTTGAGCGGTCTTATTTTTGCGATTTCAATGGGCAAGTATGCTCTAAACTTCATTTACTTTTTCAAAATTTCTGAACTTTTGAAAGCTTTTAGATAAAGAGGATGAAAATGATAGCCAGAGTCTCTACTCCATCCGTGGAGTCTGCACAAATTAATGCTATTTCACGACAGAAGATACAAAAAAGAACTTACTAATCAATAACTTGTGTCTCGTCGTTATATATCCTGTATATGTTGTTGTTATTAAATCTTATCCATTTTTCTTGTGATTTGAATTTTCTTTGTTGGTATTTAATTTCGCGGAAAGTTTTATTCGCGAGTCTATTGAGTATAGCACCAATAAGGTACTTGTTTGTAGCCATTTGGAAGTCGCTGAATTCCGCGTACCTCTGCTCCCCAAGTTGTCGGGAACGAAGCAGATTTCAGCAGGTGGGGGGTACGTCCCCTTACTTCCTCAAGTAGTTTGGGTTTTCGCATCTGGCGTTGTGGTACTTGTTTTTTTTTAATTTTTTCTGTAGAGATTCATGGGTTTTTGTCATAGTAGGTTTCGTAATCAAGCGCGCACTTACAGTGTACAAGTGCCACAAACTGGCTTTGAGACCCTTGCTGACTTACAGGCCCCTGTGTCTTTTGATCTACGCTTTTTTGTGTGTACATGTCCTTTTGAAAAGGGTAGGCAAAATCTAATATTTTCTGTAGAACCGAAGTGTGACTTGAATATACGGCCAACAAGCGTTCACTGGATTACGGTTAAATACTAAGGAGTGCGTACTTACCGGTCCCTGGAAATCACTTAAAATGTTTTTACAAAATTCTGCAAAATTTAGATCTTTCGGCAAACGCAACGGTTTTCCATCAGTCAGGACTAACATAACGTTGGGTCTGTCAGGTCTGTCTCCTCCTGCCTTGGTGAACAGCTGGTCGCGCGCCATTTGCAGAGCAAGGTCAGTGCGAGTTCCCCAGTCGCTTGCTGGTTTTGTTGGTTCTTTATCTATTTTGTCCACAAGTCTATTCTTACTGTAAAATTCAGAGGCAGCGAAGTCAAACACCAAAGTTGCCGTATTTCCCTGGAAAGTAATGAGCCCAAAGTGATCCTCGTCAGGTGCTGGCTTGAACTTATTTACCAGGTCTTTAAGGAAGGTGATAACTTTTTTTAACTCTCTCTGTTTAATGCTTTGAGTTTTATCCAAAAGGATTCCAATGTCAAGTCCGGCAGTGCATGAAGGTGCTGCAAAGGAACAGAACGTAAGTAAGGTGGCTCCCTAGAGTATTTACTAATAACCCTAGCTATCTAGCATACGTTACAGAACGAAATCTAGTTACTTTGTCTTTGCGATTTTGTTCACGGGATTCACCGCTTAGGTTACCCATATAAGAAGGCTCCTTTATCAAGTTTCATTTTCTGGATTAAGGCCGTTGCCATGGAAACATCGCATTCTTAAACAGGCAGTAATTTTGTCATTTTTGCCCATTTTTCCTTACTATTTCTAATTTCCCTCGGTGAAATGTCTTTAAACTTCGCCAATTTATGTTAACGATATTGCTTAAAATTTTAAAGAGGAAAAAACATGGGGTCGTTAAGACGGTTTTGCCAATATTTTGAAATTTGTATTTTTTCTTAATAGAGGAGTTTAGCTCTTACAGATTTTGACAAAAAAATGACAGCACAAAGGTTCTGCGACTGTTAAGAAATGAGGCGATTTTTGAAAAAATTTACCGAAGGAAACGCGAGAGATTCACGGTTAATTAACTGCGCTGACGTCACAAAAATCCGAGAAACACGCGTGGTTCGGGGTCGTATGAGCAAAATACGCGCGCGAGCCATCACTCCCGCATGCGCACAAAGCTACTTTGAAAAGTACGAAAGCGATTGTTTTGAAGCCGTTTATTAGTATTATTACGGTGATATCTCGCTAGTTGAAAAAGGGGAGATAGCGGATTTAATTTTATGCCTAACCCAGGATGTTTTCTTCGCAGTGCTTGACTATTGTAGCTAAAATTCGCACCATGGTGGTCTCTCGTGAGGATGGCGATCGTTAGCGATGAAGACGGTGGTTGTGCAAGGATCGCAATAAGCCCTTCATTTCCTAATCTGCTGTACACTGTTTGCAGGTCTTCAAATGTCAGCCCACTTCCGGATACTTTTTCAACCTTGCTTTTCTTTAGGGATAATTTCGAGGGCGAAGTTTTTCTTTACAAGTCTGCTGTAAAAGATGGCGCCGATCTATAAATCGTACATCATGTCCTCAGCTACACGAACAAGACCGTAGGCCTCGACGGACAACTATTACTTTCGTCAAGGGTCAATCTGTGAGTAAAAATTATTTCTCGTTGTGCAAAAATATTTTCTAGTGCGTCTTGCATGTGCGTTGAAGGACGTTTGAAACAACAAAAAATACAAGGGTGTTGGTTCGTCGATGGAAAAGTTCCTTCGATCAGGATGCAAGTTTATAAGTGCGAAACCTTTTTCTGATAAGTTTTTTAAATAATGTGATAGAGTCGGCAAAGGAAAAAAAAATTTACACTTCCTGTAATCTTGTCTTAAAGCCACTTCTAGAATTACTTTAATCAAATCAAATGTAAGAGAAATAAAGTGACGGAGGAGTTCCCCCTGTGAAGACAATCTACAGTGTTTGTTCGGGAATTGGCTCGATCTTTCAGATCTTTCCGCTGACCTTGAACCAAAGGCCAGAAACAGCAACATTACTTCCTTCTGGGTTAGTGTACTTACTTCTTTGTTTTCTTAGTAAAGTTTCCACTCACCATTTACTTCGACTATGTAACGTTCGTCTACTTTTGAAGCGAAAGAATTGATGTCTTTGGAAAATTTCTGCTTTGTCTTTATATACAATTTACTCTTATGAAGATCGATAGTGACTTGTAACCGGTGTAACATTGTCTCCTCTCATAAATGTTTGACCTACACTAATCAAACGTTTTGCACAATGAGCTTCAACAGAAAGTTAATAAAGTTTTTTGGGTGGAATATTTGGAAACTGAGAGGCCATGTTTGTTTTAATTTTTGCGTGGACGTCGCGCGGTTTTTAAAGCTCGCGCCATACTAGTGCTCAGGCTGCGCACGGCCAATTTACTCTAGGGAGCTACCTTAAATAATAATATTGAAAATAATAATAATAATAATAATAATAATAATTATTATTATTATTATTATTATTATAATCATGAATAATAATAATTTTATTGACCTTTAAAAAGATATGTACATAATTTACAGAAATATTTGAAGTAAGAATTAAGCACTATATAACATTTTAGAATTATATAAATCATAAAAATAGCAATCACTGTGTCAATAACGATTTCGCAAATACATTCCTTGCGGCTCAGATATGCGGTCAATGACTTTTGCAGGCAAACCAGAGTTTTATATTAAGTAATTATCAAGAGCCATCTTGGTAATTATAAAAGAGAATTATCCGTCTCTGATATTAAAAAGAAAACAAGTTAAAAAGAATAAAATCTCGTATTCCTAAATTCCCAATTCTTTAAAAAAAGATCCTTAAAAAGATTATTTCGGGCAGGCTCTAATATTATAGTTCTGTAGGTCTGAGTCAACAAAGTCTAGCTGTCGTCTTCTGGATCTTGAGCCTATCAAGCATAGTATGGCAGAACGTACGATGGCGAAAGATACTTTCGCTCTTATCCAGGAAATTGCGCTTGAGTAACTTTCTCCCTTCTTATTTGCGATCAAATAATAATAACGATGATGATAATAATAATAATGTTGATGATAATACTACTATTACTACTACTAATAATAATAATATAATAATGGAAATTAAATATCATAATAATCCAATAACATCCAAGAGAGAATATTCTGTCCCCTGTAACATCTTTTTAGATTAAAAGCTTATAAATCTCTTTAAAAATGATGCTCGTATTGGAAAGTTTTCCACACTTTTTATTTTAATAATGTGACCATGCAATGAAATTTTTTCTAATGTCAGATCTTATCAGATCGTCAACATTTTAAACGGGGTTTTTGCCCACCGAGCGGCTGTTGTTCTTCTCGACTGCAACTTCCTTGACGCCAATTTGTTGCCTGTGAAAGTGGAAACTGATCGACGCACTCCAGGTTGTGCCCGCTACTAGACGGTGAATGACGCAGTAACCTGATCCCCCGTCTCCCAGACCGAACCATGAGTCACGACTTGCCAGTTTATTTTCCCTCGAAAAAAACTTAAAATATGCCGATATCATAGAATAAGTACTGGTAGTGGCACTTTTATACAAAGTACAAAAATTATGCTCGTTTTTTTCCAAAATATGCAAAACATTTGTGAGACTTTGTTCTCAATCACCAGTGACCAATTTCGTTGCAATTTAAGGATAAAAAAAGAGCCAAAGCAAACGTGAAAAAACTTACGGCATTCTTGTTCATTGCAAGAAGCTGTCTTGTTTGCTGGTCCCAGTCCCAGTTCACTGCAGTTCTTTCCACCGTTGGATGGCGGGGGATTGGTGCAGGTTCTCTTAAATGTTCCTACACCTCCACCACACGTCACACTACATTCATAAAGCGTCCATTCGGTGTAGTTACCGTTCACAGCTGTAAAAGACATAAACAGAAAATTTGCCTCGATGAATATCCGTTGCATTGTGATTTATCGTTTCGTGGTCCGTGAGCAGGTTTTAAATTCAGTTTATTGACTTTACCTCTTCAGCGCACTGACAAAAAGATTGAAATCTGAAGTGGTACAGGTCATACCGGCAAAAGGTTCCGAAAAATATGGAAAGCCTCAGGCGTATTCCCTTTTTCAATCCCAATAGGAATAACTGTAATATATTTGCCTGGGAACAATAAAGCACTCCGTTTCGAGCGGCAAACAAATGCGCGATCAAGTGGCTAAGATGAATGTCATGACCAGGAAGATGAGAATATATTTTTAAGATCTTAAACCTGCAAATTTGTTGATTTAATGTATTTGACATGTTGTGTTATTTCTAGATTAAACAGGGACTACCATAGGTTGATTCTTGTTCACGTGGTCTTGTCTAAATATTCAAATGCAGAATGATGGGAAGTGGCGTGACAGAAGGTGGGTAAAACATTGCCAATTTCCGTTTTCGTGGTTACCTGGCAACTCAAACATATTGTAGTCTTTATTTTAAAACAAAACGGCTTTTCGAAGTTACCCAGGAAGAGAATTGCAGCAGTTTCAGGAGGAAAAGCCTCAGATAAAAATAAAATCATTCCTTTAGCCGACTTGAGAATAATTTGTGTTTTTTAAAGTAGAGACATTTGTTTAGGTTCGCGCTTTATTCTTTGTCGCTGTGGAAGAGAAAGTCTGATCTACGAATATAACAAAAACCTTAATGTCAGGTTCCACGGGAAACCAGTTAGTTTTGTTTTCCGTCGACTTCGTCTCTGGAAACTCTGGGGCCCTAGAGAAAACAAATCTAACTCGGTTTCCTTTGGGACTTAACTTAAAGTGTATAATGTTGATAGAGGTTTAGTTCCTATAATAATCGTTGATTTAGCTCTTTCCTGGCCACTAAAATAATAAAATGGAAACAACCCAAGACACTTACGGCATCCTTGTTCATTGCATGCGGCTGTCTTGTTTGCTGGTCCCAGTTCACTGCAGTTCTTTCCGCTATTGGCTGGTGGGGGATTGGTGCAGGTTCTTGTAAAAGTCTTTACACCTCCTCCACACGTTACACTGCAGTCAGAAATTGTCCAGTTGGTGTAGCCGCCGTTCACAGCTGTAAAACGATAAAACATTTGTTTAAAAATTTGCACTTGCAAAAATAAGCCTCTCGTCCAATTCGTAACAACAAGAGAGGATAAAGGGGACAGAGAAGGCATCCTCCGTACACACCCTATTCCATAGGTAATTCGTCTCGAGTTTTTTTTAAGACCACAGATCCCAAGGGGGATTAGACAACAGCCAATCACGTAGCGCGAATGTGTTCCGCGTGGATGACCCACGCTCTGAGCCACGCGTCCTTCACGAATTTAGGCAGAAAAATATGGCGGAAGACGCGGAGAGCGATATTGCTATTCGTTTTGTCGACGAAAACGACTAAAGAGAGATTTCTGCTAAAGCTGTGTCAGCGAAACGGAAATTAAAAAAGAATCCCCCTTCCTCTCTTGCTAACAGTACAGCAAGGAAACCCTTAACACACTGAATATTCTCTCAGGATCATTTATAATTTACAGTTTGAAGAGAGCAATTTCTGGTTTGATATTTATTCTTTCATTAGTCTTTTAGTATTCCACAAAAATAACACTTGGCGTCGTATAAGACAAGTAGATCAGTAGACAAGTAGATCATATCAGCGGCTATTGAAATCCAAAAAGAAAACCAGGGGTAACCACGCATTTTTCAGAGATAACTGCGCTTCAATATGGAGAAAAACGCTAAATAGGCATTTTTTAGAAGAGTGATAAAAAGTTATTTTTCCCCAAATTTCAAGAGTGTACACGTAAACTGGCACAAATGCAATGGTAATTGCAACAAGGTTTCAAAATAAGCAACAAATGATAACATAACAACTGTGCATGTTCTTTATACCTCTATTTTTGAAATGTCAGCACAACTGGGACGTTATCAGCAGTTACCCCTCCCCAAGCGTTTGCCTTAAAAATAGTGAAAACGACATTTTCCCCGAACCAAAAATTGATCGCTGAGTAGGCTTATTACCTCCATTTGGTAAGATGAAAAGTAGGGGTTACCACGCGTTTTTAAAAATTAAATTGGTTGGTTTCGACCTTAACTTAATCGCTTTGAAGGTTATTTGCAATTTTTCTCATCCCCTCCCTGGTCAGTTTCACTATTGCTTCACTCAACGCGGACTACTCTGGGATATCCACAATGGTTGACAGTCATAGAAGAGAGCAAAAACAGAAAGTGAAGCAGGACATTTCATGGACTATAAGGAAAACAAATTATACCATTTCATTCAACTGGAGCTTCTCCGTCTTAAAAATTTAACAAAAATTTTTGGAGAAGAGCAATCTCCAAGGTATTAAAGATTACTTCCAGCGAACCTAGAGTAGTATGGTGAGCTCAAGATCCAAGGCTGGCGCTGTAAACAAACTATGGTACTATAGTGGAAAATAGTCGACAGGGACTCTTAGACAGGTACTCCTTCAATCGTTTGCTTACCTGTACATGTCCTCAAGAGTTTTTTTAACTGTAGATGTAATATGGATTGTAAACCTTCTATCATTTTTTATCATTTTATAGGGTACCTCGATCGAATATGTTTTTAAACTTGCATGCATTTAATGAGCTTATAACTGTGCTTTGCGCTATCTCTTTCTGGCTTTGCCACAAGTTTCATATGACATAAATGATTTGCGTATATAGACTCAAGCTCCATACATGATCATGAGCTCTCTTTTAAAAAAGCTGAATAATGCGAAAGCAGTTGTACCTAATGGCCTTATGTACCTTAATATATAAGCTGCGCTAAAATGGTCATTTTATATATTTCGTTTTGATTTTTTTTTACTGTAGCATTCTGTGTCTTGTTCATTCACTATTTTTCGTTCCTAAATGTTAATTTTAGTCTTAACAGTGTCTGTTAAACCTAAGAAAGTTTTAGAATGGAAATACTTTATTTACCTTCCATCTTTAGTTTGTAAACAGCTAAATGGCAGCTATGTCTAAATGCCCAAGTTATGTGTGGCGTGAAATTGAACCTTAAGAAAAACTATCTACACGACAAGCTGCCTAATGAGTCAATAATTTTAATGCTTAGTACTGCCAAAATGCTTAAATAACAATGATAATAGTAAATAGCATAACAATTTTTTACGATTTTTTTTCACATGAAAGCGTTTCCTTTGCGGTTCGCAACTATTTGTGAAGCTGCGATTTCAGCAATCCAAGCAATCTTGTGATGGTTTTATAAAAGCCTCGGACTCTCAATAAAAGGGACATCTGTGTGTACTCGAACGCTTTAAGTCTATCTTCTGGTGAATAATTACATAAAATCTTACAAAATTAAAGAAGTATTTGGGAACGTGTTTATAGCCGATTAGCCGATAAAACGCGAAGGACGCGAGTGAAAGGTAAGCTTGCTGATTCTTGCCTATCAAGGGATTGTTTAATACCCAAGCTCCAAGCGTAACATCTCGAAGCAATAACTTTTGATGTTCTAGAATTGACTTTTGTTTGACTATAAAATGTTTGGTCAGATAGACCATACGGCAAAAATAGCAACATGCGGATACTTCTTCGGTTTTCAAAGAACTGGCAGGGTAAATAGGAATTATTTTTCACCTGTTGAAAAACGACACCTCTTTTCCACAAGAAATAACTAGAACCTCCCAAACTTAGAGGAGACAAAACTAGTCCACGTGTCCTGCGTGTTGCGCATTTCTTTCGCGTCGCGCGCGACTACCTTGGCATGTGCTGAAAATGTGCGCAGTTACAATAGTGGGCACCGTCCTTAAGCTTCATGTATAGGGCAAACAATAAGCGTCAGATTCAATTTGAGATTTTCTCACAATAGAAAATGAGCAGATAAAAACAGCTCAAAACAATTCTTATGGATAAAAAATTGCATGAAACTACTAATTTAGGTGTAGAAATAATGAACCGTAAACGAAAAGTAAAGAGGAAATTCGCGTTTGCCGTTTGACGTAAACGAGAGTTAACCTCTCTGTTGACTCTTGTTCAAACCTCTCTACAACGGCCATTGTCGTCTGTTCCTGAAGTGGCTTTTATCGAGAAGTTTAACTGTTATTGATGCTGTGTCTGAGGTCAATGCCCCAATATTGCAATATTTCATGGAAAACTGCTGACACAATTATAAACCCAGCTGATTTTGAAACGCAAATATCCCTGCTATAATAAGCCCATGTACGGCGCCGGTCTCGAAAGTGAGGTGTCGTATATGGATAGGTTTGTGCCATGTTTTTGTCCAGTGTGATCATGTATTTGGCCCGTCGCGGAAGTAAATAAGTAGGAGAAGGGCTGGAACCCACTTAGACGGAAGTAAATATTCAGGAGTTGAGAAGTGAAATTTGCACTAAACCCTCTCGGCTAACCACGCTGGAAAGATGTTCGATGTGAGTGATCGACTTGTGCCTCCCCGGGCCGTTGATGTTCATACCACACCAGATACCTTTTCGTGACGCCATGAAACAGAGCCTTACCTCGTACTGACCGAGTGTGAGGACAAACGAACCGGCTTAATCTGTTCAATAAAGTGTTAACAAGAAAAGCGTGGGAAATCCTAAGGGGGTAATCTCATTGTCTTCAGGCCTTTTAAATTTCGAACGTATAAGTTCGATGACGAAAAAAATTCGCAGAAAATTGCGTTACTTCCGATTCCCCCCAAATTTGGCCCACAAGAAGTTAATAGATTAGCCAATTATGTGCCTAGTTCCAGCCCCCGGGATTTTTCATTCGGTGAGCGCTTGTTTCCATATCTCAAACCGCCCTTCCCTTTTTCACTTACACTTACATGAAATTTCTAAGTTTCTTGACTCAGAGACTTAGTTTCTGCTCAACAAACTGCAAGTCTCTTCAACTTTAACGAAAAAAAAAATTTGGAAGTTACGAGCAGGAATCGATCCTAGAGTGCAAAATCTGCAGTCTCCTGCCCTAACCACTGCACTGGACCACCGAGGATTCGCTGCAGGACATCGGAAAAATAGAAGCTAACCCTTAACCCTAATCACTAGCGTTTACCTTTTCAAAAACTTAGAAAAATGGCGACCAGACTCGGGAAGTATTTGTGGCTGCCTTTGGGAAGAATGAAAGCTTGTATCGACGAATTTCAACCAAATACAAGTCAAGCAAATTATTTTGAAGGGTTCTGGAGGATAACAAGCAAAACAAACACGAAAATGGAGGTGAGAAAACAGTAAGAATCCTTGCGTGCCAATCGCCGATTTGTCTAAGTCTGCAGCACGTGTTGTTGAAACGCAATGAATTCCTTCCCGCTTGACCTTCGCTTAGCTTTTTGCCTTCAAATCCCTGCTTATTTTGATGAATTATATCAGCAAATTCATGTTTGCTTGTCTTTAACTCGATATTTTGGGCCGTCGATAAAACCCGGAACACGGAACATGCCGGAACATTCCGGAACATCCCGGAACATCCCGGAACATGAAAAAATAAAAATAATTTTCATGAAAAAAAAAGTATATATAATAAAATAATAATAATAAAATAATTTTTGTAAAAATTAATAATAACGTAAAATAACAAAAAAAAGAAAACGAAAAATAATGAAGTAATCAAGAAAGAGAAACTGGTATCCTCTCTGAGTATGAGAAAATAATATTTTGTCGCAACAAATTAAATTTTGTTGAGGGTTCATGCAAATGACAGTAATGAGTGAAGGCTTGCATCTAAATTCGAAATATATTAAAATGGGTCGCAAAGTCCAAAGCGACGAGCCCCTAAGCTCTTCTTATGGTCGCAAAGCCGCAAATGGATAACCGTTAAACCGCATGGCAAACATTCACAAGAGGTGGCTGTGTGACGAAAGCTTTGGATACCCTCTCCTCGAGACCCATTTTAATATATTTTGAATTCAGAAGCAAACCTTCACTCATTACTGTCATTTGAATGGAGCCTCACTCGCCCAAAAATTCATTGCGACAAAATATTGTTTTCTCATACTCGGAGATGATACCAGTTTCTTTTTCTTTCTTTGTTTGTTTGTTTCTTTATTTTTCGTTTTTGTGTTAAGTTGTGTTATGTTATCTATTTTGTTATTAGAAATTTTTGCATAAATTGTTTTCTATCTATTGTTCTTTTTATTATTTATTTTTTTATTATTAATATTATTATTTAATTAATTATTTATTTTTTCATAAAAAATATTTTAATTTTTTCATGTTCCGGGATGTTCCACTATGTTCCGGAATGTTCCGGAATGTTCCGGGATGTTCCATGTTCCGGATTTTATCGACGCCCGATATTTTGATGGAAACCTAAAAACAAAGCGTCTTTGTAAGGAAAACACTTGAGCACGAGGGACGCCAAAGTATAGAATTTCATTATGTTAATTATGATAATCCAATAAGCATAATTTGATAGCGTAATCTGATAGCGTCACTAAATATTTGAAGAAAATTCCAAGTCGCTCTATATTTTCGAACAATTTTCGGGTTGTTTTGCTTAGATCTTGAAAAACATATTTGTTACTACCATATTACGCAAAATAGACACATTTCCCGGCAGAATGACATTCTTTATAAATTTGAAGAATTTTTATGCAGAAATATGCCTTGTTAATTTTTTTGGGAATATTATGGGTTTCCTAAGACCGAAATATTTTTTTCTGAAAGTTTAATTTTCGCCCTTTCCAATGCGGTATAGTTTTATATGGAACTGTAAATAACAACAGAGATATAATTTTTTTAAAGTTGCATGGTAAAAAATACTGAAATAACCCTCCAAAGACAATGGGATTTATATAAATTATGTAATATATATAGGCCAATTTCGCGCGCTCGTGAAGCTACGTATAGAATATCAGTTAAACCACCTACGGCACAAAGCAGCTAACACGTTGTCAAAATGTTTGGTCAGGGCTGAAAAATCCTCGTACATAAGCACTTGTCCCTTGTTACCAGCCATTTCGTTCATCTTTAGTTTGTTTTCTTCAGCCTTCCAATTTTTGCCGAGTATTCCAACGACAGTGATGCTAACATCTTCGTCCTGCCAAACGAACAAAACGCAAAGATTAAATTTGCAGCTATAGTCAAACCAAAAATCAAGACTAACTTGATAATAAAGCTTTTGGATGGAGAGAAGGGGATGAGAGAGATATATGGTGGCCTAGGAGTTCCATAAGAAAATTGTGTAGTATCTTGTAAGTTCCCCGTAATTTATTATGTTATTTCATTTTATTTTTAAACTTTAAACGAAAAAAAATTATTATCGAGATACTTGAAATCAAATTTAAACGAAAAAAATAGAAAGTAAAGTAAAATAATTTTTAAGCAAAAGTAAAATGAAACGAAAATAATATTTCCTTGGCCTAGCAGTGCCATAAGGTTTTTCTTAAAAAAAAAAAAATGTTGTTCATGGCCTATCGATGCCAGAGCCCACAATGCACTTCGCTGATCTTTTGCGTGGCTCCTAAGCGATGTTTGCATGATTTCTCTGTTTCAATCATGTCTGGTAAACGTAAGCAATGGGACGACTACAAGGAGCGCCAAGGAAAGAGACGGGTAGGTGCAAAGAGCGATAAAGCTAGCCCCAGTGCATCTGAAGGCTTCTTGACTGTGCAGAGACTATCGGCAAACGTTCAAGGCAAGTGCCAAAAGTACAACCGCAAGCCACTACACCTACAAGAAGTCAAACACCCAATTAATGGTATTAGATATCCAAGGAGTTGGTTACACTTTGTGTGATCCTGAAATTGCATCAACAACACACATGGATGAAGCCGCACTATCGCACTTTCGTGGGCTAACTGGCTCACTTTTATGTAATGGCCGGACGAAGACTGGCTCCTCCGCTTTTTGCGACTTTTCATATTCCAGAAATCTGATATGAATGACCTTCGACCAGTCTTTGATCTGACTTTCATGCGTGTAAGAGGGCCCGCGTTCGCCCGCGAGAACATCACATTCGCAATTTGTTCCAAAATGCGACTTACAGGCATCTTTGATATTCTTGAAAGTTGGTTCTTTGTCGAACGGCACGAGGGTTAAAGGGCCAATGCGGTTGTACTTTTGGCACTTGCCTTGAACGTTTGCCGATAGTCTCTGCACAGTCAAGAAGCCTTCAGATGCACTGGGGCTAGCTTTATCGCTCTTTGCACCTACCCGTCTCTTTCCTTGGCGCTCCTTGTAGTCGTCCCATTGCTTACGTTTACCCGACATGATTGAAACAGAGAAATCATGCAAACATCGCTTAGGAGCCACGCAAAAGATCAGCGAAGTGCATTGTGGGCTCTGGCATCGATAGGCCATGAACAACATTTTTTTTTTTTTAGAAAAACCTTATGGCACTGCTAGGCCAAGGAAATATTATTTTCGTTTCATTTTACTTTTGCTTAAAAATTATTTTACTTTACTTTCTATTTTTTTCGTTTAAATTTGATTTCAAGTATCTCGATAATAATTTTTTTCCTTTAAAGTTTAAAAATAAAATGAAATAACATAATAAATTACGGGGAACTTACAAGATACTACACAATTTTCTTATGGCACTCCTAGGCCACCATAGAGATCGTGACAAGAATAGTTTTTAAATGCTTTTATTTTATGGCTACAATAGGACGCACGCTCTCACTGGCTGCTAAGTTTTATTTTCTAGTAATGACCGGGAATTACTTGCTAGGTGTCCAACTTGATAGTACACATCCTTATGGACATCTATGTTATGGTCAATTGACAGCTGTCAAAAAGGGTATCCGCTGACCAGTTATTGGTTTTAATTGATCGCAGGCTTATAATGAAAAGGCCATATCACTATCACTCGGTCAATACATCAATGCAAGGCCTCAGTCTGAGATTTCCTTGTACTGAACTCACTCTCGGTTAATACGTAGTATTTTAATAAGAGACGAACATCACCCCTAAATAATTAGAGGTTCTGGTTTGACATCATTCTTGGGTTGGTTTCACCCTCATATTCAATTCCTGCTCTTTCTCCAGGATTCTATACTGATCAATTTGTTTTAAAAAGCACAATCTTAAACTGGAAATAGGAGCCAAAGAAACAGATTAGAAACAAAATTTGGAGTACATTAGAAAAACAACGCAACAACTAACTAACAACTGTGGCCCATAAAGATAAAAAGCATTGCAGTTATGCAGTCGATTATAGATAATAGAAATCTTATATAGACCGTCTGTTTGTGTATAAAGTTCCGATATGATAGGTTTAGCTTTGTAAGGAAAATTCCCAAATAATATACCCAACTGAGACCTACTCTGGGACCTTAACTCGCCGCGAGATTGTGCGAGCTAATGCGAGTTTAGGCGAGTTAAGGCGAGATAAGGAAAAATTGAGCTCGCCTATCAGTTGCGAGTTTGTGCGAGTTAAGGCGAGTTAAGGGAAAATGATCCATTTTATGTTGAGGTTGTGAGGCTTAAAACTTATAATATGCTTTATGCCTGGGTTATGGTTGCCAGTCTGACTACAATGTAAGCCATACAGGATGTGACTTTGAACCAATGTACAGATCTTCTAGTACGAGGTAAATATTTATAAGAATTATTTATAAGAATCATTTATAAGAAATATGGACTGCAATCAGTATGTGGACTATTTAAAGAATTCTCGATTCTGGCTACATCCTAGCCTTTCATTGATGATTGTCAGCTGGAATCGTCATTAAGCTTCATCAGATTATAAAATGATACGTATGCTACTACTCTTCATATGTCATAAACAGCTTGCATGCATTATATTTGCAAAGTAATTAAACTTTCCATTACAAGTAAACTTTTTTTGTAAATCATTAACCAGCATAAAACTAAAAATTTGATATTCTGGTATTATGTTTTTGTATTTCACTCTAAATTCGAGATTTCTTATTTTAAGCCAAAAATTAGAAACAAATCATAGGAGAATATTTTTTTCTTCAATTGAGAGATTCAAAGCAATCTTGAATTTAGAGTGTTTCTTTGTCTTGCATAGAAGTGTAAGACTAAAACTTAAACTATTTTATGAAAACTTTTTCGTGGATTCACTGTTTGTGCTTTTAGTTAATGTCACTTACTTTGTGGACCAAAACACAAACAGTGAATGTGGGATTTGTTAGACACTGTGACCCCATGCCTCTGGAATTTCTGCCATGCTTAGCATTGAAGCCTTTTCGTTAGGCAACGAGTTAGTGCATGTTCAGGCTGTTCCTGGTAGTTCCATTGACAGTCCGGTTGTGACTCCACCAGTCCAGTTGTGACTCCAAGGCATTCATCGAATCTTTAGTGGTGAAATACCCTTACCACAGAGGCTATTGGAAATTCCAGAAGGATGGGATTGGTCAATTACATAATTTTTTAAAGGTAAAAACCGTGTTTTCCTTAAAAATCACTATCTTTTAAACTTTTGAAGTTGTATTCGTCTTCCCTTTATGGAGTAATTGTGAAATTACACTGAGAGTAGGATGAGATATTAAAATTGGTATCCACTTGGCAGTGGCGAGATTGGGCGAGTTTGTGCGAGATGATGCGAGTTTAGGCGAGTTAAGGCGAGATAAGGAAATTTGAACATAATCTCAAGTTGCGAGTTAGGGCGAGTTAAGGCGAGTTAAGGTCCCAGAGTAGGCCTCAACTGAAATGGCCGCCTTATATAATTATGTGTTCGCAGAGGCTTTATTCGTAACTTAAAAGACTTACCTCCAGTTTTTTTGTGCTCTCTGAAAAGTTTTGGAAGGGTAAAATAGTTTCATCTTGTTTTGAGATAAATTGTTTTCCATCAGTAAAGACAAGCAGAACATTTTTTGCATCTGGCCTGTCTCCTCCATCGGTAGTAAACAGCTCTGTTGCTGCCTTGTGTAGAGCAATATCTGATCGAGTTCCCCACTGATTCCTACCAGGAACTAAATGGACTTTCTCCTTGATCAGCTGTTTAAAAGCAGCCTGTTTATTGTAGTACAGCTGCGTTGCAAAATTGTTGTGGATTTTGACTTCACGATCGAACGTAATAAAACCATAGTGGTTTCCTCCATCAGAGACTGGGTAATTGTCTATCAGCTTGCTAGCCAATTCGTACAGGGTCGTTCTTTGCTTTTCTTGCATGCTTAATGAAGTGTCAGCCAGAAAAGCTATATCCAACTTCTCAGTACAGTTACCTAAATTGAAAGAACACAAATATTTGAAAACTTAGTATATAATTGAAATGTGTACGTTGAACAACAAAACGATTTTTAAGAATGTGGAAACCTAAAATCAGCAGTCACAAGGGAATGAGCTTTTTCAAGAAAAAAATGAATAAGTGTACGCAACAAAGACGTCTTAACGACGATAAGAATTGTTCATTAGCTTTCATTGTTCGGCCGTCAGTAACTCGTTTCACACTTTACATAAATTTCTCTTTAAAATCGCAGAACTCCAGCGCTGGTCTTTTATCTTGCGCTCGAAGGAAAACACTTTCCTTTACTAATTCTGTTAACAGCCCTTCAATGCCATTTCTATTACTGCCTATGTTATGGGAAGTAAACAATTAGACTGGGATCTGCAAAATACAGGATACACCTCGACAATGTCAGCGAAAGTAATTATACAACAACGCAAAATTAATTATGAGACGGGCGAATTGAGCGATGCATAGCATTTGACTAAGAGAAAGCGTGAACTATCGAATGTCATCCAAATTTGAAACTAAGCCTTGATGACGTTAAACTCATTGAGGGGGCTTGAGCCTTTGTTTCTTTCACATGGCCAGCGGTATAGAGCTTCATGTACAACATATTTTCCGTAAGTAATAGTTATCAAATGGTTAGCATTAGATAACATCGAGTGAAGCCAGATTGGACACCTTATGAATTTTACACAACGCATTATTTTCATAATGGAACGAGACTGGAATGTAGAATGAGACTAGAATAGCTGAAGAAACCAAAACTACAGAGCGCCAGTTATGGAGAGAACACAGTAGAGAGTTAAGCACTGATCTGCAGTGATTAGGGTTAAGCACTGAACAGAAAACGGTTAGCTTTCAAATATTGTAATGGGGTACGGCATATATAAGAACATGTATATTTTAAAAATTACTGGATTTGCCAGCTAGTCCTCGATCGTGTAGTGGATATGGTTTTAGGCTATAAAGCAAGTGACCCGGGTTCAAAGCATCACAGTGGAGCTTTTCTATTTCACTTTTATATTACACAGTAAAGTTGGACTTAAGATGTTCTTCATGTAATTTTACTGCAAGAAACAATCTGACTTTAGCCGATGTTACCTAAAGCTAACCTTATCAAATCCGTAAAGGATTTGATACACACCAAAGCCAAGTAGCCTCTCATGCAGAATTTCTTAAGGGTTTCGTTACGTCATCACGGGTAAGGAACGTTTGACGAAGCCCTAAGAACGGCGAAACAACTCTGTGTCTCTCAAAAATCAATGCAACTGGTTTGTATGATTACAATGTGAGAGCCCAAGATAGAATAGTGGGCTTATAAATATTTTGAACTTTTTAGGCAGAACTTTTTCAGAACTACATGTTAATTCATAAGGCGAGATTAAACTGGTAAAATTTTCCTGGGGTGAATTCTCCAGATCAGCTAATTTAAGATAAGACAATGGACACGTGGACAAATGTGACATGGTACCTTGGGTCTTTTTTATACTACTTGTGTCGTAAGCTGATTAGTAGTCACATGCATGAGAAAATGTTTTATCATCTAAATATGGTTTTACTTACCTTGTACTTGATCAACATCTGAAAGAAAACAACCAGACCCAATTGTCAGAGAGTTACTGGCAAAGATGATAGAAATTTATAAGATTAAAGAGATAAGGGCTAAAAAACTACAAGGTTTCATAACGATCGGTTATTTAAACTCTGGCTGGAAGAACCTGAAATAGGAAATCAGTAAGATGGATATGGATTCGTTCGACCTTTATAAAACCGTTTACAACCTGTTCTTTCTAGTGTTATGATTTTTTTCTGGTAGCACAGTGGAACATCGCCTAAATACCTACGCGTTCATAAAAACCATCTTGTTGTTAATACTACATTATTTCGACTCAAACGTAAGCCACTATCCAGGGGCACCCAACGAGAATGTAGATCAAAACCACTTAAACGTAGCATTGTTAAACGTATTTTAGTATTTAAACGGTACATATAGGCATATTTTTATCCCCTAAAAATTTTTCATCTGTTCGGATTTCCTAGCTGAAAGTCTAGTGATCCGAAAATTATAGGGATCAAAACTTACCTTGTCGAAAATTTCAGCCAGAAAAAAGGCTCCTAAAAATTCTAGGTGACCTTTTAAGGGTAAAAATCGGTTAAAAATGGGCAATTATACCATTTTTTAGATGTTCGAAAATCCTAGGAGAGGCAGGCAAGCAAGAAGTTTTACAACAAACGTTCCGAAAATTCTAGATCTCAAATTGTCTTCCGAACAGATATTTTCCGAAAATTGTCGTTGGGTGCCCCTGACTATCTGAGACAGTCGTTAATACGACCACGTTTTACAGTTCCTCGGCGGTTCTTTTCACAGACAATTGAATCCTGAACTGCAAATTCAACTAAAATACCTTGGCGTGTTCTTTCTTCCGGGATTAATGAAATGTTTGGGTAGTTATACATAACTATGAGAATAAGCCAATTCTCCGTATAATAACTGGGAAAAGATTCCCGGAAAAGATGCTTCTACGTGTACTGATTTCCAAGCTCAGTAAAGAGGTAGACATACTTACGTAAAGACAAGCCCAAAATGATCACAGCCAAAATCCACAAAGTATTCATTGCATCTGCAACTGGAAAATGAGATACAAACAAACTCATTTTTGAAAATGAAAATTTGTGCTGACTGAAAAAAACCTCCTTTTGATAAAAATACAACAACAGAGCAAACATCTATTTATTTGATATGAAAACCGTTTCCAATTATCAGACGATTCCCACAGCGGAGCAGCGCAATTCTAGGTGGGTAGCAATACAGAAATAAACGGGGCTAGCTCAAAAAATAAATAAAAGAAAAGCGAAACAAGGAAACTCTAGTAAAAGTAATAGAATAAAGTGCATATGACGGTTGTTAAGTGATGGTAATGGGTCTCCGAGAGGTTAGTTCATGTCAACAAGGCTCTCCATGTAAACGATGGACAACGCCTTCTTGCAACACACAGGCTCTGTCGTTGAAGTTATATGTCGCCCGTCCTCGTCTTGCAGTCCCTAATAATACTTAAAGTGGTAGCTGAGTATCCGGCGCCTTTAAGAAACAAGAATTGGTACCAAGGGTACCTCACCTCATGAGATTAAGGAAACCATAATCTCAATGGATTAGTGGCTATAATGACTTGCTAGGCCCCTGACGAACTGTTCATCTGTTGGGTGGACGGAACTATGACTTTTACAAGCAAAATCAGACAGGAAGCCTATATTGCGACATCGGTTGACCTAAAAACTGAAATTAAGGTTGGACGCTGAAACTCAAGAACAATGTTTTTACTTGGTAAGACAGCTCACACAACAACCGATATGTATCGTTATTGTCTTGTATCGTTAAAGTCTTAATGATGCTGACAGTTTCGATGACTGTCAGCCATCTTTATCAAAACTAGAAAATCGTCAAAGGTGTCAGAAGCCTTAAATAGCCTTCAGTAGGTGTTAATTATTGCGATAAACGAGCCTGATCAACTTTGTCCTTCGGGTGAACTAAAACCTGTCTGAGGGTGGTTTGAGGTTCAACCACTGCGGCTACCCTGTGTTTAGTGAATATAAGTTATATTTTCTCCGTGAATTAGTGGATATATGGGACAGTCACCACTCCTCTTGACTTTTCTTGTGCTTTATCTTTCTTGGATTTATCTTTTCTAATAGCTTTCCTGTTCATTTGCTCTTTCACTCTCTTTATCGCCCAATCCGGGTAACTACATGTATGGAGGGCTGTTCTTATGTGCTCTTCCTCTTGTTTACGGTCTTCTTCTTCCGTGACAATGCTTTCACTTCTTTCCATATAACGTACGTATGACAGCAAGTTTATGCTGAAGCGGATGATGCGATAGAAACGACAGGTACTGGTCTGTGTGTGTGGCTTTCCTGTAAACCAGTAGTTTGATGGATCCGTCCTCCCTCGTGATGATAAGGGTATCCAGAAACGGGATCTGGCCATTTTTTCTCTGGTTCGTCCCTGAATTTGATGCTGTTTGTTTTGTCTATTCCGTTGAGATGACCTGTCAGTGCCTTCACCTTTCCCCTCTCAATGATTTCTAGGATGTCATCCACATATCTTTTCAATAGCTTAGGTTTACAGTCCATGGGAGCAGTGGCGATGGCCTTTTGTTCTAACCACTCCATAAAGCAGTTAGCCAGGATCGGCGATACTGGGCTGCCCATGGCTGTGCAGAACTTCTGTTTGAATAATTGTCCTTTGAAACTGAAGTATGTGGTGGTGGCATAGCCTGAACTTTATCCAATTACTTCGAGTCGTTATTACTCCCTCAGTTGTTGAGAGGAGAAAACGACTCGAAGCAATCGGGTGAATTTTAGGCTAGTGGTGGCAATAAATTCTGTGAGATCCATTATATCATCTACCTCTAGGTTTGATGTATTTTAACCAATTGATCTTATGTAATCCACAATAGGTCTCAGAGGGTTGTTAGCCTTGTGAATTTCTGGTGTGCAGTACAATCTGGGTGTGGCCTCAGATGTAGGGTACAAGTATTTGTACTGATCTTCTCTTACCTTATCTCCTTTTTTAACTTGGTGAGTTTTTCGATCAGCTTTCTCTTATAAGAACTGGTTAGCCTGCAGTTTCTCATAAGTGTGAACGTCATTCAATATGGTGTTGACTTTTTCCTCATACTCGGTCTTATCCATGACTACTGTGGCTCTTCCCTTGTCTGCTGGTAGTATCATGATGGAATCCTCCTGTTTCAGTGACCGAAGGGCCGTTTTTTTCTGCTCTAGAAATGTTGCTCTTCGGGATCTTCGATGACTTGATCGCTCCGACTATTTCTGTTCTCAGTTGGGTTGCTTCGTTCGTAGCGAGCGACTTGCATGCCAGTTCCGTAGCTACCATGATGTCATTTGTGGGAATGCGGTGCGGTGTTATTGCAAAGTTTAAACCTTTCGACAGAACAGGTCTAGTTTGATCCTGTTTGAGTTGTATTTGGAAAGATTTACAACCCACCGTTTTATCTGTGTACCACTAAGATCTGGTTCCAAAGGTTTATTTTTCACTGACTTTGAGATTAAGCTTGCAAGCTTATCTTGCTGTCTACATTTTGCTTGTTTACGCACACTCTCGTGAACTCTTGTTAGGCGCGCGTTTAATTGTTGTTGGACGTCGCTTGGGAATCGCTCCGCTAAACACCGCTTCTTGTCTTGTAAATGAATTATTTTCTGGTTTGTTGGCCGAATCCTCTCTCGAAGAAGGTTCTTTCTGGCTTTCTCTACAATGTTTCTTACTTTGTCGGAATTAATAGGGCACTTTAAGCGAAGGCTTGGAGGAATGACACATTCGCCTTTACATCGCAAGTTGAACACTAAATGATTTCTATGGCGCGCTATTTGACGTGTGGTATTTTCCGCTTTTCGGACAATCTTGATGGTCCCCTGTCCGTAGTTAGTTCATAAATTCTTGAACAAATTCATCTGGCTAGTAAAGTAAGTATCATATTTAAATGTTCTCAAAACATAGCCATGGAAAGTCTTAATGATGCTGACAGTTTCGATGACAGCTTTCTCCCATATGGACACCAGTGATCTCCATCCCCCCAACCAGGGGGGGGGGGGGGGGGGGGTTTTTTTTCTTTTTTTTAAAAAACCGGTGGGAAAGCGGGGGGCCGGGCTTGGGATGTTGGAAAACACAATCCTCACTCCGGCCCGGAAGGAAATTTTCAATCAAAGGGATTTTCCAAAATTAATTTTTCCC